TTTAGTAAACAGTTTAATAATTACAGCTTAGCAAATTAACAAATGTTATTAATACTTTAGTAAACTGGAAACCTAGCAAATTACAGTTAGATACTTAGCATTTAGCAAATTACAGTTTATTAATTATAGCAAATTAAACTTAGCAAATTACTGTTTACTAATTATGTTTAGTTGTTTATAATATTTAATATTAGATATGTAGATGTTACTTTGTTTATGTGTATTGATAGTTAAATATTTATAAAATTATATAGGATGACAATGAGCAATCTATTGAAGGGATTGACTTCGTAACAAGTGTGGATTGAAGAAAAAATGAACGGTAACAATCGTATCTCATATTACTACTTATTACTTATGATCACTTGAACTTGTAATAAACTTAATTATTTATTCTCAATTTTTTATCATTGTGTAGCAGGATTCTAGACAAGAGGAGATTGTGTTGAAGCCATGACTTAGTTTCATTTTATGTTTGAATATAATACTATTGTGTTTACATTGTTGTTATGATGTTTGTATTGTGGACTTACAATTTGTGTAATTGTGTTGTTAAACTTGTGATGGACTTTTGTGTTATGGACTTGTGGAGTTGTAGTTATTAAACTTGTATGGTTGAATTTTGTATTATGAACTTCTATTTGTTAAACTTGTGTTGTTGGAAGTTTTTTTATAAAATATGAATTTATATTCTACTAATTAAACATGTATATATTAAAAGTCTTTAAAATCTAGGCCTTAAATAGGTTTTTAAGCCTATTTAAATAGGCTCAAAGCCTATTTAAATAGTATTTTGAAACCTTTTTAAAAGCCTATTTGAAGCCTTTTTAAAAACTTATTTATTGGCCAAGCCAGGCCAACTGCAGGCTCAGGCTTGAGCCTAAAAAAAGCCTACATACAGGCCCAGGCTCAGGCCTAGCGCAAATTATGCTGTGCAACCGAATGCACCTTGTAAGGTGCATACAGTTGCAAAACGGCGCCGTTTTGGTTAAAAAAACGCGCGTCCCACTTAAAGAAGAAATCAGGTTCGATTCCCGACAATAGCATTTTTATATATCCAGAAATTCATAACTATATAACCACAATTTCATAACTATATATCCACAATTTCATAACTATATATCCACAGTGAATGAATGAAGTAAAAATCCACAATGAATGAATGAATGAAGTAAAAATCCACAATGAATGAATGAATGAAGTAAAAATCCACAATGAATGAATGAATGAAATAAAAATCCACAATGAATGAATTAAATATCCACAATATATGATTGAACTAAATATCCACAATGAATGAACTAAATATCCATAAATTCATAACTATATAACCACAATTTCATAACTATATATCCACAGTGAATGAATGAAGTAAAAATCCACAATGAATGAATGAATGAAGTAAAAATCCACAATGAATGAACTAAATATCCACAATATATGATTGAACTAAATATCCATAAATTCATAACTATATAACCACAATTTCATAACTATATATCCACAATTTCATAACTATATATCCACAATAATGCTATTGCTGAGAGTCGAACCTGATTTTTTTTTTAAAGTGGGACGCGCGTTTTTAATCAAAACGACGTCGTTTTGAACCGTATGCACCATGCGCATGGTACATTCGGTTGCACAGCATAACTATTGCAGGCCTAGGCTTTAGATTTTAATAACAAGTCCAGGCCTAATTTTCTAAAGCCTGACCTATTTCCACCCCTAATAGAAATTATGAATTTACTGTATTTAAATTATGAATCTACGGTTTAGAAATTATGAATCTAAAGTATAAGTTTTATGAATCTACAGTATAGAAATTATGAATCTACAGTATATAAATTATGGATTGGAACCATGCCCAACTTGCAAGGTGCGCACGTGCTCACAGCATAACGTGAATCGTTATGCTGTGCAACCGTGTGCACCATGCATGGTGCACACGGTTGCAAAAACGACATCGTTTTGATGTCCGACTTAAAAAAAAATCAGTTTGGATTGCTGTTAACGGCGTTATGTTGTGCATAATTTGAACTATACATTTAGAATTGTATAAGTACACATCCATAACTTCATAACTATATATTCAGAATTGCATAACTATACATCCATTAACTTCATAACTATACATTTAGAATTGCATAACTATACATTCATAACTTCATAACTATACATTTAGAATTGCATGCATAACTACACATCCATAACTTCATAACTATACATTCAGAATTGAATAACTACACATCCATAACTTCATAACTATACATTCAGAATGTGAAATTATAACTTCATAACTATACTTTCAGAATTGCATGCATAACTACACATCTATAACTTCATAACTATACATTCAAAATTACATGCATAATTACACATCCATAACTTCATAACTATACATTCAGAATTGCGTAACTACACATCCATAACTATACATTCAGAATTGAATAACTACACATCCATAACTTCATAACTATACATTCAGAATGTGAAATTATAACTTCATAACTATACTTTCAGAATTGCATGCATAACTACACATCCATAACTTCATAACTATACTTTCAGAATTGCATGCATAACTACACATCCATAACTTCATAACTATACATTCAAAATTACATGCATAACTACACATCCATAACTTCATAACTATACATTCAGAATTGCGTAACTACACATCCATAACTATACATTCAGAATTGAATAACTACACATCCATAACTTCATAACTATACATTCAGAATGTGAAATTATAACTTCATAACTATACTTTCAGAATTGCATGCATAACTACACATCCATAACTTCATAACTATACATTCAAAATTACATGCATAACTACACATCCATAACTTCATAACTATACATTCAGAATTGCGTAACTACACATCCATAACTATACATTTAGAATGTAAAATTATAAAATTATGAACATATGTTTGAGTAACTAACGACAATCGAAAATGATTTTTTTTAGTAAAACGACATCGTATGCACCACGGTTGCACAAAATTTGCCGCATAACATTGGCAAATTATTGTATGGACCATGGTCTACACAATTGTGTGGACCACGAATATCAAATACATTTTTAATATGTTAAAAGTACATTATTTTTGTACTGAAGATATATTATATAAAATAATATACCCTTAATATATTATAAATGTACTTTTTATTTATGATCCACACAATTATGTGGACCATAGTTCATGTAATAATAATTGCATAACGTTGTGTCTCATTGCACGGAATATACAATTTTGTTGGCCCATTAAACACTTAAAAAAAAAAAAAACCCAAAGAAATATGTATTTTTACTTTAAAAATAAAATCACAGAACAAAGAATAAAATAATAATAATAATAATAAAGAAACAAACAATCGAGAAAGAAAAACAGAGAATTAACATAAATGCAACCTAAATCTTTGCACCATTTCTTAGAGTTCACTATATTTGTTTATATGATGAACTCAATCATTTTATGATATAATTTTCTCAATAGTATATGTATATTTTAATTTATGACATATGGTGGATTAATTCTAAATTAATTTAAAATATCAACTAATCCCATTAATTAGTGAAATTATAACTATTTTATATCATTTACTAATCCGTAGTATTCCAGACTAGTTTAGAATATTCGTATAAACAAGTGAATGCATAACATCTTTCTTGATTTAAACCATACATTTGGCATGTTGGGTTCACTTTCACTCTCTTTATAAGTAAATTATTTGTGGTGAAGAATGTCACAAATAGCTCTCCACAAGAAAGTTTTCCATTTAGGAGGTACCTTCAATTTTTCATAATGTAACCTATTTAGATGAGTTTTAAAAGGGCTTTGAAAGAATTGTTTCAACTCCTATTACCAGGACTGAAATTTATTAAATCACTTAATTTATTTAGTCAATTTTAAAGTAGACAACTTACTTACTTACCTTTAAGAGACCTCTTAGTCCAAGGTATGGACTCCAACACTTTTTAAGGGCATCCTGACCCAACTCACCATCCAGTGTAACATTGGATGGAGGATCTTTGTGATAAAAAAGCTGAGATTGAAAATTAGTCCATTGTTTGAGAAAGAAACCTATAAAACTATATTATATATATTACCTAAGGGAGCTGAATGGGGTAGTCTGCAGAACATATTAAAAAAAATAACTTCACCCTGAATATACCCTTCTCATAGGTGTCTTAACTGTAAAATAAATAAATAAATTTCAGAAGAAAAGAAATGAAGGTTTTATTGATGTCAATCTCACTTGGCCCGTCAATATCTACCTGTATCGATGTGAAGGCCTCGCCAACCCCTAGTCTAATCCCCTCAATGGGGCTTTACTCCAAAGACTTCAGTTCCGCAATTATTAATTTCGTCGGAAAAGTCATACTCACTAATATCAAATGTCAATTGAAAGAATATATTCAGATTAATCAAAATGAAAGAAAGCTTTACTATACACTTCTTGAAAGGAAACTAATAAGAATCTTAAAAAGAATTGATTACAAATGCCCTTCAGTGAAAGAAGATCACTGAATGTGCATTTGTCGCTAAAAAATATTGAATTTTAACCAATCATGGTCCTTTCAAGAGGACCGACTAGTTAAATTTTAAAACTTGAAGGACCATGGGTGGTTAACTAGGACCACGAATGGTTAAATTTGAAAGTCGAAGGACCACAAATGATCAATTTGAAAGTTTAGGACTAAACATGACAAAATCACTATACTCAGTGGACCTCAGATGATATTAACTCATATTTTAATTTATGACATATAGACATATGATGGATTAATTCTAAGTTAATTTAAAATATCAACTAATCCCATTGATCAGTGAAATTATAACTATTTCATATCATTTACTAACTTACAATATAATTTTATAAATTTAATTTGATACCATATTTCGTTATTAAGTGGTAGCATTTGCCATTTTAAAATTTGGGGGCTAAATCTTTATTACCGGGGATTGAGATAACAATTTATCCAAAAAAAAAAAAAAAACTGTTTCGCTCCCAAATAAACCCTAGAAGTATTGGATTCGAAATTCAAAACCCTAGCTCCGTCGAAATCCCGCTAGTCTTCTCTCTCGCCTCGGTATCTTCATCGACTCTACATCCTCAGGTAATTTCAATTTTCTCATCTCCGTTTTATTTCGTGGAAATTTATCATGAGAGGTAACGAGTGATCGTTCAAATTATTGATAGTATCCTGAACATTGTAGATTTTGAGAATTGCCGAAATGAAAATTACTAATGAATTGCTGTTCGGGTTCGTTGGTGTACTGGTTTAGTTGTAAATTTTGCTACGACCGTTAATAATTAGGTTACGAGTTCGTGTCCCGTAAATTGTAGTTTAATTTCTGTTTCCTAGCCCTGTTTTCCTCAATTTTGGAAATAAAGAGCTCAATTGGAGTAGAGTCCATTTAGGTGACCCGGGATGGAGGCTTAGTTGGGATGAGTCTTGGTGATTTGAGTTTTTTTTTTTTTTTTTTTTTTTTTTTTTTTTTGGGGAGGGGGGTGGGGGGGGGGTTGGTCTTAATTGCTAGTTTGTACTTTGTAGTTATAATTTTGGGCACTTTTCTTGCAAATTCCCATGGCCAGTATGAGAATGAGGGTAAAGTGTGATATTATGGTGTTCATAAAGCATCAGAAACAATGCAGGCTGGGGAAGCCACAGTTTGTGTGCCTTTACTGGATACTAAGCGAATATGCAATTGTACTGCTGATATTTAAGTATTGGTTTTGGTACAGTATTAGCAAAAACTTAGGCAAAATGAGTGGAGCTGCAGCAGGAGAGAGAGGCTCAACAACCACTAAAACTCCAGCTGATTTTCTAAAATCTATCCGTGGACGTCCTGTGGTTGTGAAATTGAACTCGGGTGTTGATTATCGAGGTTGGTCACTTGTGCTATCTACTTAGTGTATCTTCTATTTACTTAGGTATCTATTTGTTTGGAGAGAAACATTGTTGTGAGTTTGTTACTTTTATGCTTGTCATGAAGACCAACGAATGACTTGGAAACAAGAATTTACCACTGTCAAAAATACCTCTTAAATGCCATTGGAAATTACCCAAAAGGCATACAAGTCTAAGAAAGGCCAAAGGAGACATGGAGAAATGTGGACACAATGTTTCTGTTGAGTATGACAGGAAGAGTTGTTCTCTTCTAGTTAAATTTCCTAATCATTGATATGAAAGAGTGCAACTGTTGTTCACACTTCACATGCATTTTGTCCAAAGTCTGTGACGAAGGGTTTGTATTGCTTGAGTGATAAGGCCATTTGCACACTATTTGCTTGTGTTATTGGACTAGTGAGGATACAATCATACATTGCTTTTATCATTCTGTATTTTGCAGGCATTTTAGCGTGTTTAGATGGATACATGAATATTGCAATGGAGCAAACAGAAGAGTATGTTAATGGACAACTGAAGAACAAGTATGGGGATGCCTTCATACGAGGAAACAATGGTGATTACAAATGGAAACACTACCCCCCTTTAATTCATTATTTTCTTTTGAATTTAGTTGTAAAGTTGGCATTTTTTCCTTGATGCAGTACTCTACATCAGCACATCGAAGAGGACATTGGCTGAGGGGGCTTAGTGCTTGGCTTACATTTTGTCAAGAATTTCAAGCTGGATTAGACCCCAATGTTTTCAAATTCAGTAATATAAATTGTGTTTTGTAGAGTTTGGAGTTAATGTTGGATGGAACACTACCCCTTTTGGTAGCTTCTGTAGCTTGCATGACTGGATTAAGATATTCAAATGCACGTTTGTACTGTTTTATTAAAGAATGTTGCAGGAAGGCCTTGGCAAATTGGCCCTAATCTTGTCCAATTTTTTAATTTGGTCAAGATTGAATAGGCAGGTAGACCATTACTACCCCAAGCCAGCAAACCTGTGCATATATATACATGAACTAAACATCCTTTAGTTATGATATCATCATCTTATGTAGTTATGAGAGACGACATGAACTAAACATCCTTTAAATAGATTTAAAGATGCAGATTAGAGTTTCACAGTCATAATGTTGATACATTTAGCCAATAGTATAAATGCAAGATTATATATAAGAGATCTTAAATTCCATCTATATTCCTTTCAATTATACCAAAATTGATATTAGTAGTAGCACTACTACTACTACAACAACAATAGAAAGTAGTAACCATCTGCTCAAGCAAAAGCAAGAATAATTTTGTCCTTCATACCGTTCACGTACGCTAAGACAGTCGATGACAGTTATTCTAGGAAAAACAGAAAACGTCAATATCAGCTAAAACACTGAAGAGAGCAGAAGAAATTGTTCTTTGTCCTGGCTTTCAGTATTGCTTTGCGATTTTCGATACTGAAGAGTATGTCCCCAGAGCTGCACTTATGATACCCAAAACCACAACAGTGATGCTAGCAGCCCTCTGTCGTCATAAGCAAAATAATGTAAACAAAAACGCATACTTGAACACAAGTGAGAAGAATAGATGCATAACATGTTCAGTTTCCAGAAAAATACATGACAAACAACCGGTTAATACATATTTAAGACGGTGTTGTAGCTATAGAAGAACCTTAATCTGCAGTTTTAGTTTTATTGGTATGTACCTGTACGGTTGTCACTTTCTTATCCAGGATCTTCAGAAAACACAATGTTGGCATAATAACCGCCTGAAATAATAACATGGGTACGTAGTTACAAAACACGCATCTCACAGCAAGTAGAACTGCAGAAGCCTTTCCAGGAATTGTCAACTTATTCACCCCCGGGATGTATATCAGTCAACTAGATGGAGTTATTAATGAGATGAAAATGATAACTACAGAGTTAATCGTGTAGAAGATGTGCGTACCAGTAGTATACTGAGGAGAGACCCGATTAAAGCCATCACAAGGCCTGCAACAAGTTTAAGTCAGAATCACTCCAATTGGATCCAGTTATGCATGTGGAGTTGTTATATGAATTACAAGATACTGTTGCCATCTGCGTCTATGTGATTTAGTGAGAGAAGAGAATCATTAACATGTAACATATTCATTCATGAATAACCCGATTTAAACATTCTATAGAGGTCTAATTTTCTAGGCTTCCAAACATAAAAATTTTTGAGTTTCCATGGAAAAATAACTTTAATTCATATCAAGTTTGTCAAGAAAGCATAATTTGGTTGAGGAGAATTAAAATACTTTAGGGGGCATTTGATTCGGGTTATATAACATAACTCCCAGTAATGTGAGCATCGAAATGTTATAGGCCTTTATTTGGTTCCTAGATGGTTTCTAGTTCATTTTTTTGCCATATTCCTGTGAGTCTCATTCCCTAAGGTTTTTAGGTAATGTAAGATTTATGAAAATGATACATTACCTAAAACCATTCTCTAACCTAAGCTCTCCATTAATGCAATGTAGCAATTTGAAAACAAATTTTCATAGGTCCATACCGAAGAAAGGAAGAAGGAATGCGACACAAACGGTTGAAGCTACAAGTGCTGTCCTTAGCAGAACAAAACACCAGAAACTACTGGAGATTCTCTCAGGCAGCAACTCCTCCACGGCTCTAGCCAGTGGATTTATCATCAGGGCATATTTTGTGAAAGGGTTGATAACCTGTTGAGAGTACGGCATTAGAGAAATAAAAAATAAAAAATTATCTGCAGATAAAATAACCAGAGAACATGCCAACATTTGTCCAACTTATAAAGGAAAATAATGTAAGAGCTAAATACATACTGTTGTCCACACTGCAATTTTTGAAGCAATAGAATCACGTGGCATGTTTAGAGTGATCTGAGACAATGTATTATCACCAAACAGGAGATATCCCATAACTGCAACACTCCCATACATTGCAACACACAAAATAAAGCTGCACGACAATATAGGGTCTGGTGATTATGCTAAAATGTATAAGAGTGCATTATAATGGCTAAATGGAATATATTCCATACCATATAGTCATTGCCTTTGTAAATTTCTTTTTATCAGCCATTGATTGGTAAATATTGGGAAAGACAGAGTGGCCAGCATAACAAAATCCATATACACCAATGGAAAAAGGAATACCACTCCAATTTACCAATTGACCTGTCTGGGGTGATCCAACTCCATCTACTATAGTGAGTAAAGCTACAGAAACCACAATGACTATAGTTGCAACAACTCCACATGCTGCATCATAAACGAAATATTGAATAAAGAATCTATGATATAGTGTCTTAGAAATATGCTTTTTAAATCACAAAGAGAAAGGAGATTGACAGGTGCACCTGAAAGATATGATATTAGTCGAACATCCCTCAGACAAAGAGTTGGTAGAACTACCAGAGCTGTGAGAACCCCAAATAAATGGGTAGAGTCTAGCTTTAAACCATTCCAGTTGAAGGAAGCTCCAGGAAACAGCGTTGTGAGATTATCCCCCTCCAAAATGATAAACTCCACGCAGTATGTCTGAAGTAGTACAGAATAATACAAGGAAAACCGCTGTTAGACATAAAATTCATATTGAGGAATGTAAAATTGAGAGCCAGTTTCACTTACATATAATTCCGTAAACAAAAGGATCTGCACAAAAAGCAAATGCACTATAGTGTCAACCAATGTATTTAAAATCAAAACAAAGCAATTTGAGTGGCACAATAGTTACACAATTCGGTATTTAAGATAAATGAAACAAAGAACAAAACTAATTGAAATCAATCCAAAACTGAAACTATGATTTTTTGGTTTCACAGGGTAGGTTCAACTTACAGATGTGATAATCCGTCCATATCTTCCAAATGCAGCTTCACCCATGTCAGGGTAGGTTGTCATGCCTTCTCTGCTCTCAAAACAGCGCTTCATAAGAGAAGCTGTATAGCAACAAATAACAGCAAAAGCAACCAACACCGCTATGCTAGCCCAGCCAGCTTCTTTGACTGTGAAAGGAGTAGAAAGAAGCCCGATTCCAGCCATCACATTGAGCCCTAAATTGGAAGACCATTAGAGCATGAAGAAAATGCCAACCAGTTACAGGTGCATCCTTTCTGATTCATCATGCTTTATGCAATCTGTACATTTACTTTCAGAGATTTTTGCAGTCATTACTTACTTACCATTGAATACAGTTTGTGTCAGGTTACATCCATGGCTAATAGGAAGCTCCCCAGTGACTTTTTCATGCAATGAGGCCTTTTCAGAGAAGGATGACTGTTTTATTGGGATCCCATCCAAGAAGTCCTTCTTGCCGTGTTTGATAGCTTGAGGCAGCAAATGTGTCTTCTCATCAGAGTTTATGTATCTTTTAATATTCGCATCAGAAGGTGACAATGCGACACTAGATCCACGTCGCAGAAGTCCTACGTTAGGTGATGCAGCAATTGAATACGAGTCAGTTGTTTCCCTGTAAATCAAAAGATTAAGGAAATCAGGCACAAGCTCCTATGTCAAATATCCAATTGAAATTTGAAATGAGCACCAACAACCTATAATCAAAGTGAAATGAGCCAGGTTTCTCTTAAGCAAGGTTCTGGGTTCAAGCCTTGTGAATAAACCACCATGCTTTGGTAAAGCTCCCTCCAAGAAAGTTTTACAGTAGCTTGACTTTGAATTTAATTGGAACTCAAGGTGAACATTAAATACCGGGGGTTATACTAATCCAAACTAAATAATAATAATAATAATAATAATAATAATAATAATAATAATAATAATAATAATTGAAGCGCTGCTATGCAAATTATAGCTTAAAATCCTTAAACAATAGCTCTCCACATTCGAGTATTCTCTAATAATCAAATTCTCGATCTTCACAGTATACATACACACATACATGGTTTTTGTCAATTCAAACAGGAAATAAACACTAAAATCGCTACAAATCTTCTCTTCTCAAATGCTAATAACTTCTGTTTGATATTTGCAACAGAGAAAGGTTCTGATCAGAGATCTAAGTTTGATATTGGAGTGTGCAAAACTGCAAACTCTCATCATTCAGAGTGAGAGGAAATCCCCCGCGGCCATTGTTAAAAATGCAAGCACCAATAACCAAACTAAACAAGCAAAAGCTTATAGATGATGATGATGATCTTGAAGAAGCAAACCTGAAACTCTGTGGCCATTGCTGAGAGAAGAATGGAGATGAAGACGACGAAGAAGGTGATTTCTGAGCAACAATTTCATCTCCTCCTCCTTCTTCTTCTTCTTCTTCTTCTTCTTCATCGCTCGTATTTCTGTTATCCTCAACGTCACATTCATCGTCGTTCTCCAAGAAGTACTCCATTAAGTCCTTATCCTTTTCCGCCATGGCTACCGCTGCTCCAACAATTAATTCTATTGGCCAAAACTTTGATACCTATGGAACGGTGTGAGGCAGTGTGCAAAACTGCTAATGCTTCTGGACTATATAATTAGCAGTACATGATACACACATACATACACGTATACATACAATAGTGACGGTGGGCCCCACCTGTTCGTGACAGGTGTGTACAGATAGAGATAGTGAAATATCAAACATCACACATCCATCCTGCGCATTATTTTGTCCTTTTCCGACTCTGTAACGACTGAATCATACATTTCTTTCCTTTTTTACCTCATTTTTAGGTTTTTTTTGGGAAATCAAATAAACTTCATTAACTTAAATCAGTACAGAGTTCGTTAACAATACAAGAGGGAGGAGTAGACACCCACTCCTAACGTATAGACATAGAACAGACTTCTCGAACAAGATTGTGGGGTTCGCAGTACGATTAACATGTGGCATTCCAGTCAGTACGATTAACTCAAAGGAAGGGAAGACACTGGTACTGACTGATGGTCGTCAAATGAAACTGTAATAAAAATAAAATCATTAACTTAAATTAGTTTCTTCCTTCTTCTTCATAAAAGATAATCTTTGAATCTCGAAGTGACTTGTATCGTTTAAACATATTTAAACTTATGAATAATCAGTAATATTCTTCCCATAATCAGTAATATTCTTCCCAAACTTCATCTTTAGGGGGCGTTTGGTTCAGGTCATCTTAGATTACTTAGGTAATCTGAGTCTCGTAATGTTATATTACCTTGTTTGGTTTAAGTTATAAGATTACCTGGTAATGTTATATTACTTGAAAGCTAATGTGGCGGTAATGTTTCAAGGTAATGTGATTACCCCATTTTTTCTAGGTAATCTTAGATTACCTTGAATTATTCCAACTTTGTCCTTGTTAACTAATCCTTATATAATAATAATAATAATAATAATAATAATAATAATAGTAATAATAATAATAATAATAATAATAATGATGAAATTAATATATGTTTATATAATCAAATATACATATGTATATTTATATATTTAGTTTTTTAAATATTTAAGCATTGATATTCATTCATACATATAAATAAATACACACACATATTTTATATATATATATATATATATATATATATATATATATATATATATATATATATATATATATTATTGGACATTATTGTAAATTGATCCATATAATTAAAATATAACATTGAACCAAACAAGGTAATATTATATTACACCATCCAAACCAAACACACAAGATAATCTTACATTCGCAACATCTCACATTACCTTCCTGGAGGTAATCCTATTACCTAGGGTAATTCAAGATTCCGTCAACCAAACGCCCCCATATAGTAATCAGTGATATTCAATAGAGTTGGCAAGAGAGGAAGGAGGAGTACCAAGCACTTTCACACCCTAATTTGTAGGAGGAAGAAAATAAGGACATTGGGCCCGAAAAGAATTCACATTGACAAAAATAAAAGCAAATATATGGGTTTATAAGATTATGAGTTATATTAATTAATTGATTGAATTAATCATTTAGTGTGATTTAATCCATGTGAGTTATGACAAATTTTATTGTGAATCATGGTCTATGTAGCAGTGTGAACAATAAATTTCACAATATTATTTTTTTTTCACACACACTAATTTCATTATAGCAATATCAAAGTATCATTTTAAGTCTATTATAGTTTTATTTGACAATATATATTATTGCATGTGCTCTATTTTGTAATTTCATTTTGCACACACACTTACACACTAGTTTAATTATAATAATGATGAGCAATATATGTTATTGTATGACTCTAGATTTTAGTTTCATTTTTCACACACACTAGTTTCATTATAGCAACACGAAAGTATCATTTTAATTATATTACTGTTTTAAATTTGACAATATACATTATTCAATGGACTTTGTTTTTTAGTTTCATTTTTCACATACACTAGTTCCATTATAGCAACACTAGAATATTATTTTAATTTTATTACAATTTCATTTGACAACCATAATTCACACTACCCCGTGTGAACCATGATCACTATATAACAATTGTGTGAATTATAGTATATTTGAATAATATTAATTCAATCTTAAATTATAACATCACGTCAAAACTTATTAGAATGCCAAATTAAAAATTTAAATGGTGACACACGAGAATATTACAATTGAGGTTACACATGATGTTTCTTTTCTTCACTTCCACATGCATATATAAACATTCATAGTAACAAAGTCAAACATGAAACATGGTAGTCTAATGTGTGAATTTAATAAAGATTTTTATAGGTTTTTAGAAATATAAAATGATGGACTTTATTAATCTCAATAAATTTTAAATGACTCTTATGTAATATTTTTAAACTTTTGTAAGAGTTTACAAGCTAGAATGTTATATAATATTTATAGACTTTTATAGAGTTCTATTTTTTAACTCTTCACAAATTATTAAAATTTTAAATTGAAAATTATCCTACAAATTTTTATTAACTTAATATATTACAACAAATCTATTCTGTGCATCGCATAGACGAAAATACAAGTACAATTAATAATACTCAATTTGTCCAATTTTATGTGTCTCGGTTAACAATTTTGACTAAATTTTTTTATAATTTAATTTTTCATAATATTAAGTTTAGAATTTGTATTGGGACTCTGTCCCTTCGGACTCTATTACTATGTTCATTCATTAATACACCAGAGTTGTTTGGTTTAAAAAAAATATATATAATTTATATATTTAGAAACTCTGTTAAAAGTATTATTAAACACTAAAAAAATAAAATTTTAAAAAGTATGCTAAATATTTCTTCGTAATGACTTTGAAAAAGAAAAAACAGAAGATATAAAAAAAAAATGATTTTCTTCAAATTCCAAGAAGAACGTTCCCTCATGAGCTAATTAAACAACATGAAATACTTTTTCCCCAAATTTTAATAATTCAAATTCTAAGAAATTTATTTCCAACCGAACACCCCATGACTATTTCATATGGATAGAATTGTGACGTGGTCGCTTATATTGAAATACGGAGTACAATTCAATTATATGTGGGACTATGGGGCCTACTACCTTTGCAAGTGTATAAAGGGAGATATATATACGGCGAGACATTGCATGATGGAAATGTGTAAAGCAACTAGAGAGTTCGAGATGCATGGAACCTTTTTGTCTAATCAAAGATTATTATTTAGGTTTTGAGGGAAGCTCGCAGTCTCTATTTAAATATATATATATGATGTAAAAAAAAATTGTGTAATAATTTATAAATTATTTTTGTGTAATAATATAAAGCGGTTAGAGAACTCGAGATGCATGAAATTAAACTTTTTTGTCTTTTCATAGTGTTGGGAAGAGGTCGTTAAGGGCTAAGTTAAGCATCATATGGCTAGGGGATAGTTGGATGGAGGTTGATAAATGGTCAAGTCCAGCATTCTGTCTCTAAAAAATGTGTGGCGGTATAAGTAAATAAAGTTGTGCCTTTGCTTAGCTATAACTTTTGGCGTAATGGTAAGCACTTGATCCTAACAAGTGGTATCCAAGGTTGCAAAAATCGCTAAGCGTTCCTTGGGCGCTTGGGGGGGGCGCCTAGCGTCTAAGCGCCGATTAATCGGTGTCTATGAGTCCCTTTTAGTTTTTTTTTTTTTTTTTTTTTTTGATAATTATAAACTATTTAATACTTTAGTAATTAATGTTAAAATATTAAATATTAACTTAAAATACAGAACTGTAAATTGTATAAAGATTTAAAGAATCAAAACACAATTTCATAAAGTCACAACTCACAAAGTATCAATAGAGTTAATTCCAGCAATGGTCCTCCGACTATATTGATTTTCCAAAATTAGTCCCCGACTTTTAATTTGGACACTTTACGTCCATTGACTTTCAATTTCTTTCCAATTGAGGTCCTTTCGTCAGATTACGGTAAAGTGGACTTTAAATAAAAGAGTAAAGTAGTCATTTCATCTACCTAATGTATAATTCTTCGTATTTCTTCCTTGTATATGCGACTTCGGATATCAGATTCACTTAATTGCTTAATCCCTAATGAAATTTTGTTCTTCGAGTGGATTTAGGGATTAAGCAATTAAGTGAATATGATATCCGAAGTCACGCATACAAGGAATAAATACGAAGAATTATACATTAGGCAGGTGAAATGACTATTTTACCCTTTCATTTCAAGTCAAATTTACTGTAATTTGACGAAAGGACTTCAATTGGAAAGAAATTAAAAGTAAAGGGACGTAAAGTGTCCAAATTAAAAGTCGAGGACTAATTTTGGAAAATCAATATAGTCGGATGACCATTGTTGGAATTAACTCGTATCAATATTAAAGTAGATGATTTTGATTTTGATTTTATTCTTTTTTACAATCGATTTGAAAGATTTAGGATCTTTTTGCTCAAAATGACATCGTTTTGAGAGAAATAATACTTTTTAAAAAAAATGAACTATCTAATCATAGGCTGCCTAGTCTATCGCGACCGGGTCAGCGCCTAGGCATGATTTTTGCAACAATGGTGATATCAGACTCCCTAACAAGTGGTATCAGAGTCAAGTCACGAATTTGAGCCCCAATACGGATAAAGTATTATCATAGCCCCAACACGGATAGACTTGTTTGGTTATCAACGGTTAGCGGTTATCAGATAGCGGATTGTATTAGCGGGTTTGACCAGCAGATTGTATTAGGATTTGTAAAAAAATATTTGGTAAAATTAGCTGTTTAGATTAGCGGTTAACATGTAAAATGACCATAAAGGTATATATACATTATAATTTATAATAATAATAATAATAATAATTATAAAAAAAAAAAAAAAAAAAAGAGCCACGCAAGGTGCTCCCCTCTTGTATTCTCACTTTTCCCACCGTCTCACATCGGTGGGAAAAGTGAGAATGGAGCCTTGAGGCTCCTAACTCAAGGCTCCACCAATTTGTTGCCCAACCCAGATGGGCAACATAGAGTAGCGTTTTGGCTTCTCAAATTGAGGAGTTGTTTCGGCTCCTCAACTACAACAAGTTTATTTATTTATTTTTTTTTATAAACAAGGGCATTTTGGAAAAAATTTAATTTTTTTTTAAAACGCCAACTGCAAACGCTGCACTTTGCATCGTTTGCAAAAGCAGCGGTTTGGAGTGCTTAACCAAGCGTTTTTTTTAGCGGTTTGACAAAAAAAAAATGACGGATCCGTCAATAACCAAACATGGCCAAAGTCTTATCATAGAATCATTATTGGATGACCATAGAGGTCACGTGCTTGTTTGGTAATTAACGAATTCGCCATTTTTAGCATTTTGACCATATTAAAATGCTGAAAAATTTTGTTTGGTAAATGGTGGATTGGAGCAACAAATTTGCTCCAAACCACCAAAATATGAAATGCAACGCTTCAGGTTGGCGTTTTGGACAAAATGCTCAAAACACCCCATAACTCTTTTAAAAAAAAGAAGATTTGTTTTGTTAATAGAAGCCTCATGCTTCTTTAATAATGAAGCCCGAGGCTTCTCATCTCCGGCCCATCAGATGTGGAAATCAGATGGCCAAGCAAGGGTGAATAAGAAGGCGTTGTGCTTCCCTTTTAATGAGGGAGTTCAACGCCCTTTTTTAATTTATTTCTCGATGTTGGATCTTTTGATCCAAAATTTGTTGTTGTTGTTGTGGTTATTATTATTATTATTATTATTATTATTATTATTATTATTATTATTATTATTATTATCTTTTTGTGTCTTTTATTAATTAACTGCTAATATTAAACAATTAATTGAACTAACTATTTTTTACTATTACAAATATCCTTTTGTGTTTTTTGTACTAATAATTTTTTTTTTATTTTACAACTCGCTAACACAATCTATTATTCGCTAACACAATTTATTATTCGCTATCCGTTAATATAAATCAGTAATCGCCGATTGCCAAATAAGTCCTTAATGTACACATATTGTTGATTGATGCACGGACAAATTTACAGAAATATTGTGCGGTTCCACGTTATAAAAAAACAAAAGAAATTATGAGGACAAGAAGAGTTCCAAAAGGATGGAAACTGATCTGATCTGATCTGATCTGATTGGTATTTGTTTGTATAAGGGGAAGTGACATTGACAACTGGGTATTGAAGAATATATGTACACTACATGATTAGATGCATTCTTACATTTTTGTATGACATATGTCTCACAACAAAACAAAAACAATAAAAAAAAATAATAATAATAACTTGCTCATCTGATATCTTTTTAAACAAATGGTCCTTAATTCAATTTTTATATTAGTTAAGGAATGGTTTAAAGTACGAATGAACGCCAAAAGTTTTTTTGGATTAACAATTGGAAGAATAGGCCTTTTCATTTATTAAACTAATAATGTTAGCAAATAAATTTTGTATATAGAGATTATCATTACTTAGTTATTAGATCTGAAAAATTATATTGTATTCTTAAATTGTAAAAAGAGTTATTGTTATTTTTGTTAATAATTTAGCTAGTGAGGTTTCTCCCTTCACTTTGAATCTCCATTATTCTCCAATCCAAAAATTAGATTAGTTTAGTGTGCCGAAATGCCTTTCTCTCTTTACACTTAGCCACTGACCAAAAAAACATTGTAAAAGGAAAAAAAAAAATTTAATTTGTATTATAATACAGAGTAGACAAATATAAAAACGTACACATACATAATCTTCACCAAGTGATGATAAGAATGAGAATTATATTCCACTCTCAATATGACATGTGTGGGCACATGTTATCCCACTTATGATACATGACATGTGTGGGTGTGTTATCTCACATATACTACATATCATTGATGAAAGTTTAAAACGTTAGATATTGTCACATATCTAAATCTAAAAATGTTATTTGTATATTCAAGTTACATCATTAATTTTTGTCTATATTTTTAGTACTAATAAATTTGTAGATTAAGATTTAAATTTTGTACATTATATTTTAACTTGACAAAAGTACCATTATTTTGTTATAACTCCGTTAGCTTATTGTAAATATTAATTAAGGAATATTTATTAGTTATTTTATTAAGGGAGTTAAAAGTTAAAACTAATTAAAGCAAATATTATGACAATTTAATTATTCATACCATATTTGTTAGCCATTATATATTAATTTTATCTCAAAATTATTGGTTAATACATTTGAATTACTTTCTATTTTATGAAAATTTAATTAAACAATTAATAAATCATTTTAAAAAAATAATATTATTCAGAATTTTCAACGTCCGGGATGTGTTAGATTTATACAAATATATGGATGAATCGATGTCTGCTTCTGAAAAATGATTGAGTTAATCTTGTGGTTCTCCTCTCACCATGTGCCAACTAACGAGGCATAACATGCAACCCAAAACTTTGGCCACTCAAAGAAAATGACTAAAAAAAAATATCAAACATCTGAAAATTTTACCACGGTAAAATTGTACTTATAAAGTTTGATTTTTTTCTGAATAAAAATAAAACAGTAGAACTTTTTATTATGACATTTTTTATAATGTTTGAATCTTTGACTTTGTAGCAAAGAAAACAACTTTAGTTTTTTCTTTTTTATCAAAAATATTTTATCTTAGTATATTTTTGATCAGTTTTTTTATTTTTTATTTTTTAAAGATAAAAATGACTGCTGATATAATGTTGACAATATTTAATATAATTAAACATATTTATATATGGTTATATTAAAATATTTATAATTTAATTAAGTTGGATTGACGAAATAGGAAAGCAACTAAATTTTAATTAAATTGAATTGACGAATTAGGCAAATGGGGAAGAAACAAAAGGACAATAATATTACCTTGACTTTTCTTTGCATACGCGGCCCCCAAGAAAATTTAAAGTCTCAAGTAAGCACCTTTTTTTTTTTGGGTTCAAAATGATGAAATTTTATTATTTTGTTGAAAACATTATAAGATACAAATGAATTTATGAAATATTGTTTTTTTCACGTTCTAAGTGGGCATGAAAACATTTATGTTATACAATTTCAAAAATTTTAAAAGTTAAATTGTATTAATACTAGTATAAATTCACATATTTTTTTAAAGGTAGGATAAAGAGTAGAAGACTACTTAAACGTACCCCTTCTGATGAAATCTTTTTCAAAATTCGTTAACCTTAGAAAAATTTTTCTTTCAAAAATATTATTGAAAGAGAAAAGAGAGGCCCCTGGGGCTTAGCTTAGTGGTTCTTTGTTTGACTTGATTTTACGATTGAAGTGAATATAGATTTTGATGAACTAACGGGGCGTTTGGTTGGAAGGAATGAATTAGGGGAGAAATGAATTGTAATGCGGTGAGAATAAAGTAGGAATTCAAATTACGTTGTTTGGTATGAAGAAATAGAATTTTTAGAATTGAGAAGGAAATAAGTGGTATAAAGACTAAAATACCATTGTGTAATAATAATAGTAATAACAACCAAGGATAGTAATGTCATTTCATATGTTTTTCCTTTCTCAAATTCATTGAATTGCAATTCATGAGGGTACCTATGGAATTGCAATTCCCTCTAATCAAACCATGTAATTGAGGCATCCACTGAATTGCAATTCAACTACAGCTAAATTACAGTGAACCAAACATCCTGTAATTACATAACTCACGATTTATCTTTATAGTGACTCTAAAGACGAGTGTTGTAGCCTTAGTAGCTCCTAGTCTCCTACTTTATAATTATTATACGAACACTATTACTTTGTATTAATTGTCTTATCCAAAAGTTGTAAGTGATGTGTCATGCCTACACCTGTACGGCTGCACACCATCCAATTCTCATCCACGTGGCCTTATCTTACTGCACTGAGCTCGCATGTACTGGATTGTTGCTCACTACTTGCTCGTGTGTTCATCACCCAAGTTGCTCCTTGTTCTATGCACACATAATAGCTAATGGGCCCTTAGAAATGGACCTAACAATTATATTAACTTATCGGAGTATAAGTTATCTTACTCAAATTAAATAATTTATCAAGTTTACTCGTTTGTTCATATAGCGTACCTCAATTTAATCTCTTGCTTAAAGAAAATGAAGATCGGATCCGCGAATTATTGTATGATGACTTATGAAAACAAGTAATTGAGTTAACATCAAACGCGGTGGGTATTTGAAAATTTTGAAGTATTCTATAATAATAATTATAGAATTACAAGTTTAACTTTGATGAAAGTGTCTTATTGTCTCTTTTAGTTTAAATCAATCATCTTATATTCTTATGAACACTTTACACTGGTTTACTTATTGTGATCTTTTGTCGACTAGGATCAGAGTCATAAGGCGGGATCCAGTGCAGGGGCCATCTTAGTTTGACTTGATTAGCTATGACCAACATAAATTAGATTATTTTCTTGTAGACCTTTGTCGACTATGGTTAAAAGCGAGACTGGATATACATTCTAAAATAGTGATAATTTGGGCTGATTGATTATTGTTGGATAGGGTCGGTAAAGGGGCTATGTCTAGTACCAGTGGCTGGGGATTGTTGAGCAGAGGTCGGTAAAGCCCTAAGGACCAAGTCTAGCACCCAACTCGTGAACAATGTGATGATAGTCTATTAAGTAAGGAAATAAGTTGAGCATTCGCTATTAACTATAACTTTTGGGACGACTGGTAAACAGTTGATCATAATCAGACCTGGCGCCTTAGCTAACTATGATTTCCATGTCACTATTTATTTATTTATTTATTTTTTTTTTTTCTGAATTCTTGAACAAGTCTTGTAATGGTGTTTATTTCAACCAGGAAAGTAATCACGAGTGGCAATCGTTGCATCATGGAGGTAGTTAACCCAAACTGCCGAAAGTAAACGCCAGTCAACTTCGCCCATTGTTTTGTTTTATTTTCATGATGAATCGATCACACCTTAAACACTAAAAATCCCATGATTAATTCTTGGCGGGGAATCATGGAAGATTTTCGTCGGTGTTTTTTCAAGATTCTTCGTCCCCTGTTCATGTTTCTCAATTTGTTTTCCGTTTTTCCGGTCTTGTCTGCGTACACCTTACCTGAGAAGCACTTCATCAACTGCGGCTCCAATTCAAGCTCCCTGTTCGGCAACAGGACCTTCTTCTCCGACGAGAATTCCGTCTTATTCACCGCCGCCGGCCGAACTTTTTCCGACAGTGACCCCAGCCCCGAGGCTAATCTCTCTGCTATATACCAAACCGCAAGAATTTTCAAGAATCCCTCGTACTATGAGCTCCAAACAAACCAAACTGGTACTTACGTGCTACGCCTCCATTTCTATCCCTTCTCTTCCTCGCAAAACAACCTCACCCACGCCCGTTTCGACGTTGTCGTTTCCAAGGTTTGGGTTCTGTCCAATTTCAGCGTCCCAAACAAAACCTCTGCGGTCAAAGAGTTCTTGGTTTCTGTCAAGGAGAGCAAGATCAGGGTCGAGTTCAACCCTCAAGAATCCTCTTTTGCCTTCATAAATGCAATAGAAATGTTTGTAGCGCCTGACAATTTCATTCCTGGGTCGGCTTTATCAGGAACTGGGGACAACGTTTTCCAGGTGATTCATAGGATCAATGTCGGCGGCTCTGCAATCCCCCCTGGGAATGATACTCTGATGAGAGAATGGGTGGGTGATGACAGGTTTCTGTTCTCCAAAGGCGTGGCGAAGAACGCTACCCGGTATAGCAAGAAGCCTAATTATTTTGATGGAGGGGCTAGTGAGTATGATGCTCCTGATTATGTTTACCAGACGGCGAAAGAGGGGAGAAAGACTGACCAGAATGGGGGTCAGAGGTTCAATGTGACATGGAGCTTTAATGTGGAAGAAAGTGTTAGCCATTTTGTGAGGCTGCACTTCTGCAACATCATTAGTGAGGTGGAGAATGGGACAGAGTTTAATCTGTATGTTAATGGTGGATTGAGTAGATTGATTCGCCCGCAGGACGTTAACCCCTCTCCGGGTTCGCCTTTCTACTTTGATTGTGTGGTTGATTCGGATGGGTCGGGGGTGATGAATATCAGTGTTGGGGTTCTGGATGATGAGCTTAGCCAGGCTGCATTTCTGAATGGGGTGGAGATTATGCAGGTGATTCGGGGGGAGGAGAATTCGAGGGGGAAGAAAAAATGGGTTTTTGTAGTGATTGGTGGGTGTTTGGTTGTCGTGTTTCTTGCTGGGATCGCGCTGTTCTTTTGCTTGAAATCGAGGAGAAGAAAGCCCCGGGAGGGCGATGGAGGGGGAACAGAGATGACTAGTGTGTTCTGCATGAGTCCTGATATGAACCTGGAGCTAAGAGTCCCTCTAGTTGAAGTGATTTTGGCTACAAACAGGTTTGATCCCAAGAACATGATAGGGGAAGGCGGGTTCGGGAAGGTCTATAAGGGGACACTGCAGAATGGAGTGAAGGTAGCAGTGAAACGAAGCGAGCCGGGACACGGGCAAGGTCTGCACGAGTTTCACACCGAGATAATGGTGCTGTCGAGAATTCGCCACCGGCATCTCGTGTCACTCATCGGGTACTGCTCGGAACAGGAGGAAATGATTTTGGTTTATGAGTTCATGGAGAAAGGGACCTTAAGGGATCATCTGTATAGCTTCAAGCCACAACAGTCAGGGAGATCAGGTTCGTTTTCGGTGCTGTCTTGGGACCAAAGGCTGGAGATTTGCATAGGTGCAGCTAAGGGTCTGCACTACCTGCACACCGGGCTAGACGGGCCGATCATTCATCGGGACATCAAGTCTGCCAACATTCTTCTCGACGAGAATTATGTAGCCAAGGTTGCAGATTTTGGGCTGTCCCGGTCAGGGCCTAACGATTTGTCACATATAAGTACTGACGTTAAGGGCAGCTTTGGTTACTTGGATCCCGAGTATTTCAGGTGCCTACAGCTTACCCAGAAGTCTGATGTGTACTCTTTCGGGGTGGTCCTTCTCGAGGCCCTTTGCGCTAGGCCGGCCGTGAACAACATGCTGGCAAGGGAGGAAGTGAATTTGGCTGATTGGGGGATGTTTTGGCAGAAGAAAGGGGAGCTTGACAAGATCATTGATCCTCTGCTAGTAGGGAAGATTGACCCGAATTCACTCAGGAAATTCGGGGAAACTGTGGAGAAGTGTCTGCAGGAGTATGGAGTTGACAGGCCTAATATGGTTGATGTGGTGTGGGACTTGAAGTATGCCTTGCAGCTTCACCACACCGCGATGAAGCGTGAGCTGCAACCCGAGGACGACAGCAGGACCGGGTACTCGTGGCAGCTCCCACCCCCGGTTTTCCATCGCTTTCCTTCCCACATCATGCCAATAGACCGAGATGAGGAAACCGAGCACCTGACCGACAGCCTTGGCACGAGCCATTCCTCTCCCAGCGCGGTTTTCTCCCAGCTCAGAATCAACGATGCCCGGTGACCATATCCTTGACAACACATCATTCAGTTTGGTATCAGAACCTTTGACAACACATCATTCAGTTTGGTATCAGAGCCTCATCTCTCGAGGGAACGTTTCACATGTATACTCAATAATATAATGTAGCCATGTTTGGATTGACCAGCAGAAAAGCTAGTGGCTTTGTATACTTGTTTCATTTTTATATAATCATCTTTTTCACTGAAATAACAGAAAGAATGAGAGGAATCATGGTGGTGAAAGAAAAGTTTGGAATATGGAAGCTTTGGAATCAAATCAAGACTTCATTATATGGCCATCCTAATACTCTCCCTACACTCCTCCTATCTGCAACAATTCATTAATTACTACAACTCAACAGTGCAGTTTAAGCTTCAGAAAGTTTCTTAATTTCCTCGATTTAAAAGTTTGCAGCCGCTACCTAAAGGTGTCCTTTGTATAAAGTCCGTCTTTTGACATTAGCTGACAAAAGACCACAAGGAGCTAAACCAGTTTAAGTTGTCTGATCGGTTCAAACCAAAAAGATCAATAGACAATTTTTCAAGAACAATTTCTTAATTCCCTGATGTTAAAGCAATGCAAATATTCTCTTCCCACCTTCCAAGTCTCCTACACGATATATATATACTACACTAATTATTTACCCTGCCAAAACCTCTTATCATCCTCAAATTCTGTAAACATGGGCCAATCCCTTAAGAAAATGGGTCTCTCTCTCTTTCTCTCTATCTCTCTATCTCTCTCTATATATAAAATAATGCATCATGGTCATTAATTTCTGGGTTTTTTACATCTTGGTTTGACAGGAAATGATGATGATGATATGAAGGGTAGAGATATTCAGCCAATAATAGAAGATTGCTATGACAAATACTTTGTCAACACTGAGAATTGGACCTGTGCTGATTTCTGTCACGCCATATGCCAAACCGTCGAGTAACTATGAATTTTCATTTTTTATTTTTAAATTACAAGAAAAACCCGCAATGCCTAAGTTGTCTATAGTTACTTATAGTTGATCGTGTCAAATCAAGAAGGCTAATAGACTTTTAATATGTAACATTTTTGTTACTAAGTTAATAGTCTTGGCTGTGTTTGCCTGAATTTCGAGATTTTTTTTTTTATTGCAGAGAAATTAACACAAGTGTCCGTAGCACACAGATTCGGGTGCCCAAAACCGAAACACTGGACAGAGCGTTTCATGTACGTAAAAATGTTGTGTTCTTAAAATGCACCAGGACGGGAATATATTTGTAATTTTTTTTGGTGTTTGGGGTGTGTAAATGGCAGAATCATCATAAAGGGAAGGGGAAGAAGTTGAGCAGGGAAGAGTTTCAGAAGATTTTGCAGGAAATAATTATGGACACAGGGGTGACAGGGATTGGAGCCAAAGATATATTGTTCTTTCTGTTTGGAGTTCCAGTTACAACGTTGTTCTTCAAACAGCGACTGTTCCCCACAGCTGTTCCAAACGAAGTGTTCATCCCTGCTGTCACTTCCGCCACTGTTTTCCTTCTTGCAAAGCTCAACAAGATATGAATGAAATGAATTAATTCTACTCTTATACTCCTTGCAACTTATTTTGATTAATTGAATAAGCACAAAGACACTGCATTATATTGATTTTATATATTTGAATATATATATTTGTACAATATTTGATATGTTGGATTGCTTGTAAATTTTTAAGTTCTTGACTCGTAAACACATTTTACAATTCGAAAATCACCCCGGTCAATCATTTACTGACTTAATCATATATCTGCATCACAAATACTTAATTAATACTCCGTATATAAAATTTATTATATCATATGAAAAATTCGAGAAAATCAATGCTCAGATTAAAAGAAGGATTGAGTTTACTCGTCCCACAAATACACTTTTAATAAAGTTTTTTTTTTATTAGATTGCATAGGGAAGCAGGCCCAGCAATTCTACTTTTCAGCCACCCGGCCAAAATATATAATTGTGGGCGAATATTCTTCCTTGACCAAGAATTAGCTTAGCAAAAGAAAATATGATAAAATCAAGAAACCTGTACGAAAATCGAAAAATTATCTATAGTTGGGTAGTGCTGTCCAAAACATTCTTAAAAAAACATCCACTGGTTCATTGGCTGTATGCAATATAATCACAGAATTTGTTCAACATCTGATCTGGTTTTTGGATTAATTGTCTAATACCACCATTAGTATATGTGGCTCCATTTTGAACTTCTTAGGTCCCCTCTTTGATTCACATGAAAGCCCACAACCCCTACCGAAAACGTTCTTTTGAGTGAAGTTTGTCGAACACCAGTGATATTAGCTGGTAAAAGACAAGTAAGTAAATTAAGTCAGTCTAGATTATTCATGAATAATTGCTAAAATCAAAGAGAAAGTCGGTCAATAAACAGTTAACCATTGAGAGTCCAACTTAAAACTTGTAATTAATTACTAAATTAACTGTCTAATCAAGGATTGGTCCCTTCCTAGGTTCCTTCTTGACGGCTTCCCCTCTCAGATCACATGTAACACTTTCACAATGACAAAAAATAAAAAATAAAATGGGGGTATGGATAAAACAAAACAAGATTATTGTCGTACGTTTGAAAACGGACAGGGATTGTGAATGTGTGATTGATGGATGATTGAGGTTTGATTTTATCCTCCTCCATTCCATTTTCTTGAGTCACACGTAGGGATGGGAGCGAAAGACTGCGAACAAATCGGGGAGAGAAAAGAAAAAGCGATATGATTCTCTGTCATTTCTGGGTCATCTCTCTGATCTCCTGCATGCATTCTTGCATGGTTAATTATCTGTCCGACCACAAGGAAAACCATTTTTTTTTATCAACTACGTTTGTAGATCCTAGCTAGGTATAGTAGCAGGGCGGGATAATAATAATAATAATAGATAGATATATACATACGGTTATATATGAACGGCGGCGATAGATAGATGAGAGAGGGCGGCGACGATATGATAGATGGGCATATTCAATGTTGATCTGAAAGACAGAAAGCTAATATTTCCGACGGATAAAAAGCTGGCAGGGTGGAGGACTTCCAAGGCCGGAGGAGGAGATAGCAGTATTAGGCCGCGGCGGCTGTCGGTTGACGGGAGAATAGGTAATGGTAGTGAGTGTATGGTAGATAAAGAGTTTGCACGAGCGCGCTTGTCGGACGTCGGTGGAGTTTGCACCTCCGATGACTCCTTCTTCGGAGTGACCATGCACCCCAGCGACTCCGCTAGCTTCACCAGAGGGAGCCCCATCAGGATCCCCAAGGTTGTCAAGAAACAAGGAGACAGCATTTCCAAAGGCCACAAGAATTATGAGCTCATGCTCAATTTGCAACTCGGGATCAGGTCAGTCCCCGCTTGCTCGGTTCCTTCCTGTCCCGATTATTTTAGGACTGTCAAAGTGGCTCGAAACTCGTGGGTTGACCCGTCCCTACCCTGCGGTGGGACAGGTTAGGATCACAAAAAGATAGTCCACGAAATAGTGGGCCTAACGGGCTTGGCCCGCAGGCCAGGCTTTATTAAAAAAGTAAATATACGTATATATGTTAGTATGTTACTCAGTCGAGCAGAACTCTTTTAAAAATGTATTTTTTTTTAAAAAAATTTTTAAACACGGAAAAAATGCTGCAGGCTGACCCGCCAACCCGCGTGGAGCGGTCTAAGGTTGAATGAACCTTAGCCCACGAGCCGGCCCACAAAAGTCCGTCAGAAATTAGGTCCGCGATGGAGCGGTCTAAGGTTGAATGAACCTTAGCCCGTGGGCCGGCTCACAAAAGCTCACCAGGGCGGCCCTAAGAGGGCGCTGGGCTCGCTTCGACTATACTTAGGCTGTTTGAAAGCTGCATATTTATGTTTATATATTATATGCTGCAGGCATTCAGTTGGAAGGCCTGGTCCAGTTCCGTCCCTGGATCTCAAGCCATCAGCTTTTGATCCGAGAGAGAAGTATTGGACCAGGTTTCCACCCGAGGGGTCCAAGAGTACGCCGCCCCATGCGTCCTGCGATTTCAGATGGAAAGATTATTGCCCTAAAGTTTTCAGGTCTTAATCATCTCTGCATCTTTCTGTGTGGATTATGTGATCTGGTTTGTTTGTTTGTTTGTTTGTTTATCATGTGTTTTTGTTGTGCATATGTTTCAGGGCATTGAGGATGATGTTCAAGGTGGATGCTGCAGATTACATGCTGTCAATCTGTGGAAATGATGCCCTCAGGGAACTCTGCTCTCCAGGGAAGAGTGGAAGTTTTTTCTACTTGACAAACGACGATCGTTACATGATCAAGACCATGAAGAAGGCAGAAGTGAAGGTGATACTATACTGTTCCAGCATAATATATAAAAATAATAATAAACGTGCAATCTCACTATCAATCGAGGTTGACACTAACTCGATTTGTTTCTAATGTCATTCATGGTTGGTTTAATGAATTAGGTGCTTTTAAGGATGCTGAATGCATATTTCAACCACGTTAAATCCTACGAGAACACCCTCGTGACCAAATACTATGGATTGCATTGCGTTAAGCTAAGCGGAACAGCCCAGAAGAAGGTATGTTCGTTCCCCTGCAGCCAACTTGGATACTGACTGCGAGTTTATCTCGTTACCAAAAAGAAAAAATCATTGTTGATTATGTCGTGTTGATGGTTGGTTCTAGGTGCGGTTTATCATCATGGGGAACCTCTTCTGCACAGAGTACACCATCCACAAGCGGTTCGACTTGAAGGGATCCACTTTTGGCCGCCTGACAGACAAACCAGAATCCGAGATTGATGCCACCACAACCCTCAAAGACCTCGACCTCAACTTCATATTCAGATTGCAGAAGGCCTGGTTTCAAGAATTCAGGAAGTAATGTCTCTCTCATCAAGTAGTTTTCAATTCTTTCCATTTTCGCACATGAAATGGTAACATTTAGCCGAAGGAGTTGTGTGCAGGCAAGTAGACAGGGACTGCGAGTTGCTTGAGCAGGAGCGAATAATGGACTACAGCCTTCTCGTTGGCCTCCATTTCAGAGAATCTGGCACTGGAGAACAAACACCCACTGGCTGCTTCACTCCAACCGGTTAGTACCAATCTACTGGTAAATCACGGTAATTCAGCTGTCCATTAGTTGGAAGGACCAGTGCCTGGTGCCCACTGTGGCTGTCAGGGCCCGCCTGATTTTGTATCTTTACTCACAATCTACTACCCAGGAACTAACTGAGCTGTCCGTGCAGACTATAGTGACCTAATAGACAAGAATCAAGAATCAAGAAAGCAAAGCTGTAATACTATCTGCTCTTAATCATCTGCAGATAATGGAGGGCCAGAAACTGATAATGTGGTTCGCCTGTCTCGAGCTGATATGGATCAATTGCTTGTGGATCCAGCAGGGTATATATACAATTTTGCATTCTCAATACAATAATAATTCCCTATATCTATCTCTGAGACAGATCCAAAATTCCCAGAAACAGGAAAAAAGTTGCAAACTTTAGCTTGATAACACACATTCCCTGCACTGATTTTGTTGGTTGAGAGTTGCAGGTGGGCTAGCATAAGGCTGGGCATAAACATGCCTGCAAGAGTGGAAAGGACAGAGAGGAGAAGCGACGGGGAATTGCAGCTAGTCGGAGAGCCAACCGGGGAGTACTATGATGTCATCCTATTTTTTGGCATCATAGACATCCTCCAGGACTATGACATTACCAAGAAGCTTGAGCATGCCTACAAGTCCTTCCAGTACGATCCAAACTCCATCTCAGCCGTCGATCCAAAGGCCTATTCCAAGCGCTTTCGCGACTACATAATCAAGGTCTTTGCAGAGGACACTTAACACAACAACATATGACCAGATCAGACAAGACAACCTTACCTTTTTCTTGTCTGTCAAGAGCCTTGTTGTTTTCAGCTGAGAAGAGGAATTGGTTCATTTTCTTTCTCTTGATTCATCGTAACTTATAAGTCGCATATTATAGGTATACACACACACACAAACACACAGAAATTGTGGGTGAAAATTGTATAGAGAGTTCATGACAGAAGCAGCACAAGTGTAATTTAACAAAGTGTGGGAAGATATTGTTGAGGACCATTTGTCTCTATAAGCTCTATACTGTTTACTTTAATGTTAGAAGTTAAATTAGATGTCTTGAATTTCTGTTTGGAGACAAATGTTAAGTTGACACTTTGTGGTTTTGAGATTTCTAGGTGTTTGCAAACCTTATAAATTCTTTGTTTCATATATATTTATAATACAGAGTAATGTTTTATTGTTCCTGTATCATGTATTCATTTCATTTATTTATCAAAAACTATGGTTGTTAGCTGATTGTGTTAGTGAGCTTCACTAGTTGATAACATTAGCTAATTTTAGAAAAATATTTAGTAAATTAACTGTTAGCTGATAGCCGATTACATACAAAATAACTTCCTCAAAAATATGATCAAAAAGCTGCTTTGAGCAATTTTTTGAATTTTTGAAACAATAAACTGTTACAAAAAGTTAATTAATTAATCAAACATTCATATTAGTTGTTTAACCAAGTTAAACAGCTTATAGTGATAAATCAAAATTAATCAAATTAAACAGCTAATAGTGATCAAACATGGTCTATGTGTGATTAAAAGAGTACCTACAACTCCGCGTCTCATAGTCTTAGATTTATAATCCTATCTCACTTACCCTTACATTAGTTGTTCCTAAATTACCTAATTCTATGGTGGGCTTGGAATTTAGAAAACCATCAATAACATTTTCTTATTAATATAATGTGGAGTATTTTGCTGAAAAATAAAATCATTTTCTAGGAGGCTTAAAAATATCATCAATATCAATTTTTGTTATCATTCAATACAGAACATTACTACAAATAAAACGAAAAATAAAAAATAATAATAACAAAGTTGGAGAACATCCAAGCAAAATGCTAATTTAGTATAGAAGAATTTGACTTGTGTGAAGACTGAAAATCTCACGTGAGACGTGCAATATTTTTAGCTAAAATGTAGTACATTTATAATTGTATATAAAAATATTACATTTTAATTAGAAAATATTACGTGTCTCATGTGGGACAGATCTACACAAAACTTACTCATAATGAAAATATCTACCAAAAAGAGGTATTTTTTTTATAACACAGGTTTTTTCAGCTTAGCCTAACTACATTCTGCACCCCATGAATCCCCAAAAACTTATAAAAGAGGTAAATCTCGAATTACGTAGGTGATTCCAAATTCTCTACCACTTACACATTTTTAGGCACTAAAGATCTTCACCATTGGTCAAAATCCAATAAAAGTTTTTAATTTTTCATGTTTCCTTACGCGATAAATGTGTATGCTGTATAACACTGCAGCCAGAGTCACCAACACGAAGGATAACAGTATCAACTCCCAAAAATCCTGAACATTAAATGCACCATAAATAAATAAATACTTCAAGTTCAACCAATAATAAATGTAGATAAATGTAGTTTAGCTCACTGGTTTAATAGACAGTATTTTGAAGAAGAAAATAAATATATTGTATATAAAAAAAAAAACAAAGAATAAAAAACTCGAAAAAGTTGGAAGTAAACACATTATGTTTTATTGTTTTTCTAATTGAAGTAGAAAGCTTGATAATTACCCGAGGGTCTGATATGACTATGCCTACGAGGTAAGTCATCAAATCAAATATAGATTGCAGAGAGCTTTGAACCCCTCCTACCACACAACGATCGTTCTCTGAAACATGATCCTATTCAAGAAATACAACAATGATAACTTGTGCATTTAAACTTTAAAGAGACAATCAATCACGAGATTCTTCAAAATACTTACAATTATATATAACTCAAAGTCTCACACACACATATATATATATATACCTGCATTTGTTGAATGACTGACAAATCAAACATCCATAGCCCCAGGCGTGACGCAGCCACTCCGGCCATAAGCATAGATGCTGATATCACTTTCTTATGTACCCATATGGAAGCTACGCATACCAAGAGGCAACTCCACTGCATATTCATGAAGAAAAATTAATCGGCTAGGTACTTTTTTTAAAAAAAAAATAATAATACAAACAACCATTAAGCTATTGAACTATAAAATCTTCATATAAGCTTCTAGTCAGATATAACATTACACATGTGATGACATGCCAATTTTAACTTTATAACCTGACAAATAGTGTTAATTGTATTATTATTACGAGTTTAGATGTTGAATTTAATTGAAGCTTTTTATTATACCTGAGACCAAATGGACCATAACCCTGTTCGAAGGGTTGAGATCTGAGATTGCAAAACAGGGTACAGAAATGTAGCAGCTATCCCTATTGCTGCACTTATCCCACGAGCTATTCCAATAATATATGCAGGTATACCTTCCCATTCAAGAGTTGCAGTCATTAATGTTCCAAAGCTGCACCACAAAGTTCAAAAGTTAATTAACCAAAGCTTTTTTGAAGGTATGTACAATGTACCCCAATCTTTGATTTACGGGAAAGCATACGGTTACTAGCTGAAGATACACTTTGGGTAAAATTCGTTTTGTGATTCTAGCTATCAAAATATCATAAAAAGATAAATCGATCTAGGTTGTCCAGTTCAAATCAGTAAGGTCAATAGACAGTTAAATAGGTTGTTACGATTACCTGAGTATGGTGAAATAGAGCACTGCAAGAGCAAATCCAGGCAAAACTACATCTTGCTGCAAATACACTTTCCAAGCACTGATATATGGAATTGTTGACACCCGACCACCTATTTTTCCCCAACAGCTGCTGCTTTCAGATGTCTCCATTAATGGATTTCTGTCTGAATTATTAAGGAATCTTTCCTCTTCATGACAAATAGAGGGGCTTATTTCCACAGTGTTTGGCAAAGATCTCAATGCCCTTCTCTGGCTGCTTTCTCTTAATGCAGGAACCCCATTGGATACAGATGTTAGAAGCCAATATTCCATGCAAACTGATACGATATTCCACAGGGCCAGAGCCATAGCTGATGCAGTGAGGGAGATGAAACTTATGATGCACCCTGAAATCACAGGAGCAAATAACTTGCACACTAAATCGATTCGCCTTATTATAGAATTCATGTTTGTCTGCAGCTCAGAAGGATGGCCTTCTGATATCACCACCACCCTGCAAATGAGGTCTGATAGAGTTGAGTTCATGAATAAAACCGAGCCATTGCATAGTGCATATGAAACATCTAATACTTTTTTCGAGCTATCCGAGAGTGTGGATTAAGTAAACAGCTGACAAAGGACCACAAGGAAGTAAACTAACCTATGTTTCTTATAGTTGACCGGCTTAAGTCAAGAAGGTCAATAGGCTGGCCGCTCTCTATGAGAGTTGAACTTGTAACTTCGTGTTTACCAAGCCTATAAGCCGATCAACTTGGCTAGGTTTGCCCCCAGAAACAACTAATACTTATTTGCATGGATCACCATTTGTGATCCTAGCCGAGCCGGCAATTGACGACCATAAGGAAGGACCGGCTTAAACTAAGAAGGCCAATAGGCCTGAGAGTTGAACTTGTAACTTTGTGGTTACTAAGTCAACAGCATGACCAACTTGGTTGGGATTATCCTAGAAATAGCTAATACTTATTTGCATGGATCACCTGTGATCCTAGTTGACAAATGACCATAAGGAGAGTCTGGGAGTTGAACTTGTAACTTTGTGTTACCAAGCCAACAACCTGACCAACTTGGTTGACCCAAAACAGCTAATATAATACTTATTTGCATGGATCACCATTCTCTTTCGATCAATATGGTCCCTGCCAGATTGGAAAGCACAGCAGCAGCTCCAGAAGCATTGATTAGTATTATGAGTAACACAAATGGTGCAGAGTTGATTGGGATCAAATCTGGGCAGGCAAGAACAGCAACCACTGAACCTCCAGCGACCATAAAAGAGAGACTTTTGGTTAGCAACCAGAACTTGAGAACCTGTATGTGAATGCAAAATCAGAACAAATAATATATATATATAGGTAGGCAATTATATAATGATGATAAGAATTGGAGGTGGAGTGAACCTTAGCATATGTGAACATATCCACCCATTTTCCGACTACTGGTCCAAGCAATGCTGAGGAAGCAGACTCAACAGCGCCATAAATAGCTGCAAGGATTAAAGAATTTGGCCAGATTTTGATCATGTACAAACCCACTGAGAATTCCCACATTCTGCAGTTAGAAAAGGTGCATATTTTCATCAAATTTAAGTGAGAATGGTAGTATAGTATCATTATGATTGGAGATCACTAATAATAGTAATCAGATCAGATCAGATCAATTCCAAAAGAGAATAATCTGTCTCACTAGTCCAGTAGGTGAGAGAATCCCTCAAATTTAAGTATTACTCAACAATTTCTTGGTATCACATTATGAGTTTGAACTAGCACCATCTCAATTATACAATTCTTGTTTGCACTTAGAATCCTCTAAATTTCTCAACTATTAATTGAACCTTCTACATTTCTATTCAAACCTAGCTAATCAATCTATAGGCTCTGCTAAAACCAAGGATGGATATATATATATGTCACTTGCAATAAAATGAGTTTTTGTATTAGATGATTGCATGAATTTGTAGCAGAAAGATCAGAATAGTCAAATTAAGTTTAAAATGCATGCAGAAACTGATCATACATATATAATGAATATAATTAGAAAGAAAGCAAAGAAAAAACCTGGCAGTCCATCTGGAAAGGAAGTGTCCAACGTAAAGATTGTAAAGTAGAGAAGATGGGAATTGGGGCTGCTGATTTTCTTGATCAAACACTGCCGCCTCATTCATCGTACTGCTCTTCTCTCGTACTTGTTTTGCTACAGCTTTCAAGGTTGTCCTCTAACAAAAAATGGGTTTTATTATTATTATTATTATTATTATTATTATTATTATTATTATTATTATTATTATTATTATTGTTATTATTTAGGGCGTAGATGATCACAATTAAAAAATAGGCCGGCTTGGGAGAGTTACGTACGTTGTAGTAATTGCTCATGGATTCATAGTCAACATGGCCACTAATCAAATTAGAACCAAGATGTCAAAGAGTCTTAATTACTTGTTATTTATAATGATAATAGTTTCACCAATAATACTTCCATTGTATTATATATGTATTTTGAAATTATACTCACTATCATTTAATGAGACGATCATTTATGAGTTATTAAGGGATTAATTAACTTTCATTTATGAGTTATTAAGAGATTAATTAACTTTCAAGACGTGTAACATGAGTATATATTTTCTGATAGACTTCTTTAACGGGTTATTACGTTCATTTTGCTAAGTTTCAATCACTTTGTAATTACGGAGTATAAAAGTAAAAAAAAATATTATTTCAATATACAAAAACAACCAAACAAAACAAAATCTGTTGCGGCAGTATCATATATTTCGGCGCTCAATTCTTAATTGCTTGCTCCGTAATCCGTATTTTATTTTGACTTTGGACTTAATTTTGTTTATATTTTTATATTTTTGGTATAAAAGAGTTTAACAACGTTATTTGGGTTGGATCAATTAAGATGACTCGTCTTAAAAGTTTATAGACTTATTTTGGGTTGGATTGGGTTGTGTTGTATATGTCTTATTGTTAGTGAAAGATAGCAGGTGCTGGAGCGTAGTCAAGTGTAGTGAGTGAAGCGCAACACAAATGAGGCAAAGTGGAATGGAGCAACAATATTTGTTTTTGTGGTTTGAACACGAATTGAGTTCGTTGATTGGGTTAGGATGTAGGGGCAACGCCCCCGCGATACAATACAATGGTAATTTTGTAAATGTATCGTTAAAATTGTCTCTAAATATGATGCTTGTAACCTTAAATGTTTATTTTTTTTTTTGAAGACAAAGGTTTAATTCATTAAATCACCGAAAAGACAACGAACAAGATAAGCAGGAGGGGTATCAAACCACTCTCCGCAACCTGACACAAAAACGGCCTCCCGAGCAACAGTGTGGGCGGCACGATTCGCAAATCGCTTCACAAAACGGAATTCAACATCATCAATCAAAGATGCTAATTCTTTTTTTTTTTTTTTAATCAAAGATGCTAATTCTTTAATATCATCTACTATTAAACCAAAAGATCTCATTCATTCCCATAGACATAGGCTCTCAACTGAACTACATAATATGTTGGTTGACCAATTGAGTGACAAATGACAATAGTTGACAATATATGGTTGTATGATTTCATGAGTTGATTAATTACATTATTTAGGGAGTCCAAATCAAGATCCAAATATTTAATAACAAACCAACGGTGCAAATTAAATATGTATAAAAAAATTTCACAAATTATACATGTTTTAGTATTTTGATCATAATTTTTTAATATAGCGTTAGATTGAGATAATTTAAGATTTTATGAAAAATTAAAGAGAAAGATCTGCAATGAACTTTCATATTTTGAAGACGATCGGAGTATATTTAATTTGCATCATATTAAAAATCAAAGTTATTGTTTAGTTGAATTTCATTAAAGGAAAATTATTGAAGCTTTCTATATTCAAATAAGGAGGCCTCGTGCGAAACTATATCTTATTTTTTTAGAATTTTATTTTATTGTTTTACCTAGTTTATTTAGATGTAGTATTTAATTTAATTTCTAAATACTTTTTATGTATGGAGTTCTTTGCTTTAGGATGTAAAAATCTTCTTTAAAAAAGAATAAATAATTAAATTTGCAAGAGAGATTAGAGTATATTAATTGGATTACATACATCATAATTGAAGGCATATATGCATGCCCACTAAGTCAAACAGGTGGTCTGGTGTGACAATTCCAATCAATAAAGTTCCCAACAATGTTCCTAAGCATCCATAGAAATCTTAAGGATCTATCAGAAAAGCACTATAAAGAGAATCAAAAGCAACTGATTTTACAAACATGACATATATTCAAGCTGTGTCTTAATTTGGTCTAAAAATGGGTCAAAAAAGTATTAGTATGGTGTTCCACAAGACTGGAGCTTTAATCAAGCTGTGACAAGCCATGATGTTTTTTTTTTTTTTTTTTTTTTTTTGGAGTACGTAAAGAGGGGAATACACATTCATTATTTGAGGGTGCATGTGCAGTTTGAAAACTACACAGGAAAGATAAATTAAACCGTACTAGAAAAATCATGTGCGGCTGTTTAATTAAGGTGCAATGTTGACAAAAATCAAACTCGTGATCTTCACTTATATGACTGTATATGGGTATGAGAGAAATAAATAAAGAGCAGGAGCTCAGATAGTTCTTGGGTGCTAAATTGTGAGCAAATATACATGATCGAATTAATCATCCTAGAGTAGAGTAGAGTGGTTTTGTTGAATACTATCAATCTATCAGTCTGAAGTAGTAGAAATGAAATGAATAAAAACGAAGCCAAAAAGCTGTGTCCAAATGCAGATGTGCATATTCCTCTCTTTGCCTTAGCTTTATTGGGAAGAGACATATTCTGAGCATCATATCCATGTGTCGCCATGTTGTGGTTTTCCTTAGTATAAAGACTGGAAATATGGGATGTCCCAAATAATTAGCATGTCGTATGTATGTGCCCGTCCGACATTCCGACCTCGTTCACTCCGTCCGGCCAATTCCTCTTTAGATTCCCGGCCGGCCAGGGTCGTTTAATTTGTTTAGTTAGTTACACCCAATTTAGGAACCATACACAATTATTGAAGATTGAGATATTATATATATTATTCCCTTTTATATATACTTTGTTTGATAGATGGAAGGATAATGCTACATGCAATGCCAAAAAACTCACTTACATTACACCCGGCCACCTATTTAGGTACTAAGGAAAAGATTGAGATCAGATATTCCCTTAACTTTATTTGAAAGGATAATGCTCTCAAACAACTCAATTTATTAAATCCAAAACAAGAACATCATGGACAAAATAAGGAGTGGCATACAGCATACTACTCTCCCGGATCAGACAAAGAAACGTCCTTCCTAGCAAAATGATGGACAGCCCGATTCGCAGGCCTTCAAACAAATTTGAAGCTCACATCGCTACATTTCAGGCATTTCAGCTTCTTTAATATCAGAATAATAATGTCAAACTCAGATGAAAAATAGTAGCATGCAATGCAAAGCGGTAATAACTAATTGAGCATTCGTTTCCACATCCACATTATCGATATTCATCTCTTTTATTAAGCTTAATGCTTCACGAACACTCACGGCCGTCGTCACCTTTACTGGTAGCAACCTTTCCATGGAACTGACTTACCCACTTTGAACGAGCCCAAACTATCACGAATAATCAACCTAAAACCTACGCGACCATTTTCCTCATCCACAGTTACATCGACATTTAGTTTTCATCTTCCAATATCAAATAGTGTCATGTTAGGAGAGGAAATTAGGATATGAAAATCTTGGAGGGATGGGCAGCATTACTTTATCGTAAAATGAAAATACTTTTTACCCCTTATAAAGTTCTCCCTCCTAATAAATTTTCTCTTGATGTGATCGACTTGTAATCATTGAGTGTCTATGAATTAGCTGACCCATCAACGCGTAATAAAATATTAGAGTATCTAAAATCAAACAATGTCATGTCATTCTTCCAAAAGGCTGAACCCCAACCCTAAGGGCAAACAATGTCATGTCATGAATGGAAGTTAGGAGGTCTTTTATGTGAAAATTTCAAAGAGTTGAGTGACATTAATTGTAAAACTTGATGATAAGCCTTTTTCAGTGACTTTTGGGCATGAATTTAGAGAGTTTAAGATTAGTCTAGAGTAATCAATTTAAAAGTAATTTTTAAGAAATTCAAATATAAAATACTAGTCCGATCTGTATAATTAAGTAGACTTTTGAATGAAGTCAACTACATGCGTAAAGAAATATGAAACCAAGTGTAGAGTACCAGATCCATCTTTCCAGTACATCAGCTCCATTTTTCTGACTTGAATTGGTGAGATATAATCATACACTGTACTGTATTCATAGCTATACTAGCTGTATCTTGTTGTCCTCCTCTTCCCCACAAATATTTTTCTCCATTGCTTCAAAAGATTAAAAAAAAAAAATTAAAAAAAACAATAATTTCAACCCAATAAACACATTTTTTAAATTTATTCACAAGCTTCCCAGTGAAGTTAATTCAAAGCTAGGGAGTAAATTAAAATGAAGAGAATGAGAAATGTGTCCTAATTACCGGTAACTCAGTTGATTCACTAATGACAGATTGTACTCAATAATACATACCATAGTCCTAACAATTATATATAGTGTAAAAAATTTACCCTTTTGTAAAAGTGGCTCTTTGTGGGGCACTAGTCTCACACTAACCTTCTTATCTAAGGGACTGCTGAGTCACAATAATTTAACTCATCTGTACAAATTTTATAGGACCCAAAAATGGCCCAAATGCCAAAGTAAAGTTGCACTATCAACCGAAAACAAGATGCTCATCCCGGGTCATAGTTCAGTGGTGCAAACGCCACTATCTGGAATTGAATTTGTAACTTCGATTCAAATATATCTCGCTATTTATTACCTTTTAATTTGGTTATCAGACAAGACAATAAAGACTCGAGATTTTGAAGTTGAAGTTCAACCTTTTTTTTTAAGAAAATGAGATATCTGCGGTAGAAGTAGACAACCAACCACTATATATATATATATATATATATATATATATATATATATATATATATATATATATATATATATATATATATTCTGGTCTTGGAAAGTAACCTTACATTATATATATTAGCTGTTCTTTAGCAATTTGCGGTAAATTAATCAGGCTAGATTCACAAGTTAAAGCGTACATACAATGTATTTCATACTAAAGGACAAAAATTTAAGATTCTTTAAAGAAAAAAAAAAACAAAAAAACAAAAAGAAGAAGCATCATGGTATTTAATTTAATATACATTATATTCTGCATGCAGACTGAATCTATGAAGAAATCCTGAAACTGGGCATTTTTCCAAAAATAGAAAACAATTATAATTATAATGATAATAAAAGAGAGTTGCAATTTGTTAAATATCTACTGGTACACGAGGAGGGGAAAAGGCCAAGAAAAGCAAGAGGACCATGATCAAGACCGGGAGGAAGAGGAGTATCGCCGGCGGCTGCGGCAGCGGCGTCGGCAGGAACGTCGGCGACACCATCAGGATCAGCCCCAGGGCGACCATCACGGCTACGGACGTCGGAACAAAATGCTTAAACATTAAATTCCTCGAAACCTCGTATATCAAGCTCCTGCAGACATGGCAGCAACGCAGCGGCGGCGGCGGCGGCTTCTTTCTTTGACCAAGGAATCTGGGCTTGCGTACACTATATATATATATATATATATATATACACACCCAGAGATCGGTATAGTATAATCTCTGTTTGTGTATATGTTTCGATCTTCGTCGTTTAGATCAGATTACGGTGGTTGTAAGGGCGGCGCGGCGGAGGGACGGTGGCGTTGATGAATAGGGAATGTATGGGTGTGTGTGTATATATGACTCTTGTGAGGGGAGTGTGATGAAGACTAATAAGAGAGCCTAGTGCGTGATTCTGATTTTGCGTACCACATAATAATTACTCTTTTTCTTTTTTAATTTATTAAATACTGACGGATTTTACAAGACACAATTTAACTGGTTGATCAATTTTATGAGTATATTTTAAAATGAGTTAATACCCAAAATCGTCCTCGACTATAGTGGTTTTTCTCAATTTCGTCCTAAATGACTTTGGTGACCTAATATCGTCCCAGACTTTTGTGTTTCGCTCAATTTAGTCCTCCATTTGTTATTCCGTCAAATTGGTGTTAAATAAAGTGACAATTCAGTAATGTCAATATTGATCTCTCTTTACTTTCAAGTTGTGAAGTGCGAAATTCCTCTTTCTTGTACGAATTACACCCAGAATTACTCCCGGATCTGCAAATCAAATTTTATATTCACAGTTTTAGGAGTAATTCTGGGAGTAATTCGTAAAAAAAAAAGAGATTTCGCAGTTCACATGTCTATGAGTAAAGAGATGCCAATATTAAAATTACTGAATTGTCTATTTATTTAACACCAAATGGACAGAATAACAAATGAGGGACTAAATTGAGCAAAAACACAAAAGTCTGGGACTAAATTGAGCGAAACACAAAAGTCTGGGACGATATTAGGTCACCAAAGTCGTTTAGGACGAAATTGAGAGAAACCACTATAGTCGAGGACGATTTTGGGTATTAACTCATTTTAAAATTTGAGACTGTTGAGGTACATTTAGAAGGGGCATCCTATTGGTTCAGGAGATACCTGAGTTTTATTTTAAATACTTCAAAATTTCATGTGATATTTTTGAAACATTACATTTAAATCATATATCTCATGATTTATTTCTTCACAAGACACACTTTAATTTAATTGGTTAATCAATTTTGTAAGTATATTTTAAACTTTGAGGCCGTCGTGGTACATCAAGAAGGGGCATCTTTTTTTTTTTTTTCTTTTTTTTTTTTTTTTTGGTGAAAGAAGGGGCATCCTATTAGGCCATGAGATACCTGAGTTTTATTTTAAATCTTTCAAAATTTCAGGTGATGTTTTGGAAACCTTACAAGGGTTTATAGGTGGAGATTCTCGAGTTTCGGATGCAATTTTTTTTATTAAAAAAAAATGGTTCTAAATATAGTTACGTTGCTTGAGGTGGTTGGTAAATTAAATGGATACTAATGCAACAACAAGGCTGGAGATTGAATTTTGTAAGGGTACGTCATGTTGGAGAGCTCTAGGCTAGTTTTTTACTAAGAGTTCAACTTGGCCTAGAAAGTCGAGTCCATCATCCGATAACCGAAACGTGACATTGATTGCTACTCAAGTATTAAAAAAAAAAAAAAAGTTGCACTTTTGCTACTATCTATAGTTTTTGCATAATCGTAAACGCTTGATTCTAACAATAATTGGTATCAGAGAAGTTGTGAAGTCTTCACTACTTGCTATAACTTTCGGCATAATGATAAGTACTTGATCTTAATGGTTGACTTGCATGCGCTAGATCCAAATTATTTTTACCGTGTTGAGAATTGTTAAATTTGATCTTTTTATAGTATTGTAAATATTAATGATTTAATGTTAGATATTCAATAATACAAGTTTAATTAGACTATGATGTTGTACTATATATAGCTAGTAACTTGTAAAGAACATATTTTAGGAGAAGATGGATCAACAACCACTATAAGCCGTTGAAAGCAAAAGTAGTTAAATGTACTAATCAAGTATATATATATATAGATGTATGGAACAAGATTTTCTTAAATATTACACTTTGTTGGGAATAGTTCAACAAATTTGAGCAAGCTAGAATGTAGAGCATACTCGCATTATCCACTAAAAATGTTGGTTTAGAAATCAACATATATTTAACATATAATATTAATTTCTTCGTCAGTAAAATTATACCCAGCAATAATATATTCGTATAATTATTTTCCGAGTCAAAAGGCACAATCCCATGAGCATGGGCACCGTCAAGACCTTATTTTAGGTTACATTACAAATCATTAAAATTAAAGAATAAAAAGTATGGCAAATCTTGTGTGTGTCTATATACCAGCTATAGCCACAAGTCAGGTTTCACTCAAAATGCACATTTGAGTAGTAAGTGTGAATTTTCCCGTAAATCATAACCCATAAAAAATTTTCTCCTCGTAAAAATAGAATTTTCCAAATCCATAATTAATTAGATGGTTGAAGATGAATTTTAAATCTAAACTAAATTAAAGGCTTAATTACGTTTTACCAAAAGTAATGTCAAATTTGAGTAAATTTTGAATATACATTTCCTATTTATGATAGCGTTTCACCGATTAATAGCTAATATTTATTCTAATTTTTGTTTGTTCTAATATTTGAATTAATGGAAAGAATAATGGTTTGTGGCATATATATAGTTGTAGTGAAGAGAGAAATTTGTATTCACGATTTACATTCATGCGTAATAGTCTGTATGTATAGCATATATTCTTATTTAATATGGAGTATAAAAATATAAAGTAATACTACACTTACAAATACATTGGATATATACCAAGTTTTGTACTATTTAATGGATCTGTATCTAATTAATTTATGAATATGTGATTGTATAAAATACATCAATTTGTAAATAGGTAATAATTATGTAATTTGAAGTGTGATTTTTAAATAAATAAATGCATTGTGGGGTAGGATCCGCAATATATATTTGCTGAAATGACAAAATTATTAACAGCTACTTTAGGTTGTTGCCTTGTTGGGGTGGATAAGAAAACATATAAATTATGACAGTTATAATCTCTAGCAAACTAGAGTGCTATGTCCAGTTGTCCACAACACAATGATCCATTTTTTATTAGGCTCATCAAAATTTACATTAGTTAGTTTGTATGGGGTGGATAAACCCCGCTTCGATAATTAATTCAATGGTTAATTTTTATCACAAGTAATCTATTATACCATTTTTCGTTTCAAAACTTGCATTGTAATGCTTACTTTTTGTCATTATAAAAAAAACTTTATATATATATATATATATATATATATATATATATATATATATATATATATATATATATATATATAATCATTGGTTTAGCTTCTTTAAAAAAAAAAAAATAGAAGAGTAGCATTCTCAAGAAGAGAAAATTTCACTTTTGATATTTGATTATTATGACATTGTTACATTTAGTCTTACTTTTTAAATTTTTCCTAATTACATTTGTGACTTTAATTTGTTTACAAGAATTAGTCTTCTATTTAAATGTTTGCCATTCTACTACTATTTAACAAAGATAGCTAACATATAATTTCATAATTTAAGCATCTTGCTTCAATATGAAATTACATGTTAGTCATTTTATTAACTAGTAGTAAAAGTGCAATTTTATTTTATTATACTTGCGTAGTAAGAAGTGTTGTGTTTTGAAGGCAATATGTTGCATTTAGCCCTCCAAACATCTGCCGAACATTTATTTCTAAAATTAAAAAAAAAAATAGTAAGGTATGTAATCATTATACCATGGACCGACCATGTCCACGCACCTTGCAAGATGAATCATTGACATAAGGTTCATTATTAGTATACTTAAGATTCATTTTTAGTACATTAAATGTTCATTTTCTGAATGTTCATTTTTAGGTATACTAAAAAAAAAAAAAAAAAAAAAAAAAAAAGAACTTTCAATACATTAAAAATGAATATTTAGTACACTAAAAATAACATTTATCACCAAGCCTTTATAGCTTAGAGGTAGAGCATTAGTTTTGTAAACTAAAGGTTTGTAGTTCGAACTTGCATGGGGGCAAGCACCTTTCTTTGTTTTTTTTTTTTTTTTTTTTAAAGTATTTATATGTTGTCCACATTACTCACATTGTAATGTGAACAATAATCCATAGTATAATTTTTCTATTAACTTAATTAACTAGTATACCCGTGTGTTACACGGAATGAATGCAATTATAATATTTTAAAATTTTGTAGATCCATATACAATTATATAAATTATAACAACGAATATTATATAGTGCAATTGATGAAATAGATTGGATCGATTATGTTTTCTGATGTTATCATTGCTTGAATTCGACTAAATAATTGCCAAATTACCCGTACGATGCTGAGGTAAAAAATTTAATTAACTTAATTTTTACTCTGAAAATCTTTCATTTAAAAATGAATATTCAGTATACTAAAAATAAACATTTGTTGCCAAGTCCCTATAGCTCAGTGGTAGAGTGTCAATCTTGTAAACTGAAGGTCTGTAGTTCAAACCTGCATGGGGGCAAACACTTCTCCTTGTTTTCCAAGAAAAACAAACATCACTGCTAGATAGCAAAAAGTCTTGATTTAAGATCATTTTCACGTAGTTTGGAAAACAAACATCACTGCTAGATAGCAAAAAGTCTTGATTTAAGATCATTTTTACGTGGTGTAGCAGTGAATGATCCATAGTATAATTTGCATATTGACTTCATTTTTCACTCTGAAAATCTTTCATTTAAAAATGTATGAAGGATTAAATCCATATATATTCATTTGTCAAATCACTTGCAAATTGCAATAATTTTTATTTTTTTTAAATCCAATCTTGTCAGCTAAAAAAAAGAGAATTTTATTTGAGTGGTGGATGCATTATCACTAGGAAAAAACAATAATAATTTAGGTACAAATGTAAAGATGAAGACAATTGTGCCTTAACACAAAGACAACTAGATTTTTTCTTAATCTGGTTACAAGAACCTTGAACTTGGACAACCTTTTACCTAATAATTAATATTCTATTATTTTCATTTGATTTAGTTACAATATAATGTTTGTTGTGATTCATGGCTCATGTTTGTATTGCTGTCACTTTCATCCTCAATAGATGGAGACATATATGATATATGATGGGGTACGTGGAGAAGATCGAATATTTCTTTTGGTGTATTTGTTTTTGGAATAAGGATTTTAATCATTATATTCAAAGTCTTAACTGATGAAATTGTGCAATATTGTCTACATTAATTAATTAAAACAAAAGTTATAGAACACATTCTTGTCAAGTAATGCTATTATTTAATTCCAATAATGTATTAATGTCTATGTTAGAATCAAGCTACTTTATTGATTGGATATATAGCGGGCACTATCTAAGAATGTGTATGTGATAAATCACATTCATGTGTAATAATTTGCAAACCATAAGAACTAGGAAGACCCTATGCGATGGGTGTGAGTGTTTAACTGAAAGGGTGTTAGCAAGAATTGAACCCGTAACCTTTAGATACTAAAATTATGCTACTCTCACTCAATCGCCTTTTTAAAAGTAATTTTCGTGACCTTCAAATACAAAAATCGAACTCGTAAACTTTTGATATGTTTTAACGTTTGCTTTTTGCTGACTTAGTAGGCGTTGTGTGGCCTAAATTTAAGGTAACTGTAAAACAAATGTTTGATTCTTGTAAATGACGCGTCACGTCGAAGAGTTACGTTCTAGGCTAGGTTTTAGATCACGTTACGTTAAAAAGTTTTAGGCTAAGTTTTCTCCAAAATAAGAATCAAACTCTATATGTGCAATTCGAATCGTACTAACGGGCCAGGACATTGCAACCACAGATGAGAGGTAAACTACACTAGAAAATCCTTATTAGCTTTTACGATGAGAAGTTCAATCAAAATGGTATTGACAGAAATCAAATTCGTGACATTTTAATACGAGAATTATACTCTACCCACTCAACTATTCCTATCGGCTATCGCACCAGAGAGTACATATATTTTGACAAATGATGAGCTTTGACTTAGTCGTTTAAGCTACAAATCTAGAATTGTCTTCCAATAGTGCTTCTTCTTTCATACTTGTTGACTTCTATACTCCTTAGTTTAGTACTTCCCCAACACCAAAAGGATTTCTAAGAAAAGTTGTTCCTGGCTTTGGCACATTCGTACCTTTATAGTTGGAAAACATTGAATGTATTCATGAGAAACTTTGAAAACGAGATAAAATAGCTTTATTCAGATTAGAATATGCATTAAGTGTCGTACCACTCCAGCATGTAACAAATTGTGGTGTCTGAGAGCTGAGAGTGGAGCTAGTCGAGGACAACATATATAGGCGGTATGTTTTGTACTAGTGTATGTGTCGCTTCATGATTGACTATAACTTCTGTCCCAAAGAATAATGATTAAATAAGTCAGCGAATTACACATGAAAGTATAACTGAGTCATTCTTTTTTTTTTTTTTTTTAAATCACAATTGATCCATGTGCAATGTAAAATCATGCAATTGAACTTAAAATGACATGCGTGTTTAGTTTGTCTTTGCTTACGTAGTGATTACCTTAATTTAAAAAAAAAAAAGTAATTTTATATTTATTTTAATAATTTTAAATAAAATAAAAAACTAAAAAACCAACCCTACCCCTTAGCTTTGTCTCCGCCAGGCCGGAGGCGAAGAACCTCAATTATATTCCTTCATCTCTAGCCTGGAGACGAACAGGTTTCTTCAATTCATCTTAGGCCGAAGACGAAGAGAGGTTCTTCGTATGTCTCCCGTCTGGAAACAAAGAGATCGGATAAACATGTCATTTTAAGTTCAATAGCATGATTTGTATTGTCCAATGCTTCAATTGTAATTTTTTGAGTTAAATAACTCAATTACTTCAAAGTTACTAGTCTAATTTTGATTTGTGTCCTTTTATATGGATACATGTAAAAAAAAAAAAAAAAAAAAAGCAAATATATGCATACAGAATTATACTAAGTGGACACACATAAATGACATAATGCAGCCATACTGGCATGCATAAAATCCAAATGTATGCCCCCAATCTGTACCTACCTACCTATATATATATATATATATATATATATATATATATATATATATATATATATATATATATATATATATATATATATATATATATTATGTTGATGTTATCTTAAACTTCACATCACTACTTGTATAATTATATATGCGTTACATACAACCCACTATAAATGTAATTATGAGTCATTTGCGATCTCAAAAAGATGACTGAGTGAGAAAACATAATTCTTATAACAGAAAATTTTGGGTTTGATTCTTGATAACAACATTTCAGTTGAGCTGGTCACATAAAGTTTTCCTAGTGCAATTTACTGCGTGGAGTTTACTAATGTCCACTCTCGAGTAATAGCTATCCCAAAAAAAAAAAAAAAAGAATTAAAAAAAAAAAATTCTTGACATTAATACCGCACGATGTCTTTTTGTGCCATTTGAATACAATGTAGGTCCATTTTGGTACTAGTCTATCACAATGATTTTATCTTGTAATTAGACCATGTCATTGTTATGGCTTGTACGTTGACCTAATTTAATGTGTATACATAAAATGAAACCACAACTTATGTTTGTGTATGTATGTATACCAATTCACCCAATATAATGTTGGAAAAAATTAGAGATTTTAAAAATATCTTGTTTTGCAATGTGCTTTTTTTTTTTTTTTTTAATTTTAATTTTTAAGTAATGCTTTAATGAAATTAAAATAAAATGATAACTTGTAATGATATATATATATATATATATATATATATATATATATATATATATATATATATATATATATATATATATATATATATATATATATGATAAAGATGATTAATTTATGATGATAAATTAAAAGTTAGAGATGAAACATTAGATGTGCTGGTCGGATCTATGACTTTTAATTACAAGTATTTAATTAAATCTCTTGTTATAGTCAATCATCTCGAGTTTATAGTGAAATGTTAATTTTTAATTGTTTAATGTTCAGAACTATTCTAATTTGAAAGATCAATTATATTAGTAAACTTGTGGTGTTCTTTTCCATAATACAACAAATTTTGCAGTTTAGAGAGGGTACATCAGTAAATTTCTGGACTAATTTGTTTCAAACATACAAAAATAACAGTAAAAAGTTAGAAATTTTAATATCTAACAATCAAAATTAACATTTATGTCACCTCAAGTATTAATTTTACCAGAATGTTGAGTAATTTACTATTTGTTCACAACTAATAAGTGATAAGTTCAGTGTTACAATATATAAAATTTATATATTAGAAATTATATTAAAAATAATATTAAACAAAAATCAAATTTAAAAATATCAAAAAAAGAAATACTAAAGAAACTAAACCAAAAAAAAAATGAAAAAAAAAAAAAAGAAGAAGAAGAAGAAGAAGAAGAAGAAAGTAAGATGGTTTGACTAATGAAAATAAGAAAAGAACATAATAGATATAATAAGATAGAGAGAGTACCATTTTCTCTTTTTATTTTTATTTTGAGATTTCATATTAAGAACAAAAAATCAATATATGTATGGATACAAACTACACATACTCTAAATTTTTGCTTCATCTTTTATTCTCTGCTTAAGTGACATATTCTGATTTATCTAGAAACAAAAAAAAAAAGACTGGCTTATAATTTTTATTACTTAATTTCTTTTCTATCAATCAAATACAATATGTATCGGAAGTTTTAACTTATTCTATAGGAGTATATATGTGTGTGTGATGGAGAAGTATAAAATTGTCAAGCATCCTACTGTGATAATTTTTTTTTAAAAAAGTCGTATGTTTGGTCTTTCTTGAAATTTTGTCCTCTTAAAAGCATTTACATACACTTGTGGTTCACATAGATGCCACGCAATGAATTAATATATATTTCCATGACTGGGCCAACGCATCGTCTAATCTAGTTTGGGTGCGCAAATGTCCGCATGTGCAGTTTAATTGATCACGTAAATGAAGTTTGAAAATAATATATGACCTAGGATTGAGTGTCA